CGTTCTTTGTTAATATTTTTAGGGAATTTTGAATCATATTTATCTGTTTTAGGAATTTTGACGATTTGAAATAATCAATTTTCTTGAAGGTGACTTCATAAACGTTACACTAACTTGGGAAATTTTTGATCATCTTGTTTAAACAAAGTTAAGTTTACGGGCTTCTTAATTTCTCTGATTTATTTTTGTTAAAACACGTTAAACTAATTTTCATGAGATTTTGTTATTTCACTAAATTCAAAAAAGCATATAAAGGTTGAAACGCAAGTTAATACTTGAACATTCGATTACAAAGAAATCAACTAAGGAATATATATATTTATTTATTTATTTAGCCTCGATCTCTACGTCCGTCTTCATCATCATTTCCTAATTAAGCTTAAGGAGTATATCATTCGTGGAGTTCCTGGTCAATAACCAGATTCAATAAATAAAAAAGAATTATAATTTAACTGTTTTTCTATTAATTAGTGACCCCTATCTACCAGATTACTTTTCATTAATTTGTTACCATGTTTTTCTAAAAATTCTAATAATCAGTGGCTGCATTGTAATTTATGTACTTGTATGCAGTAGTAAAGATGATGAGCGTCGTTAGAATAAAATTCGAGTCGTAAAATTGTCTGACCTAGCAAATTTATTTTACACACATGGCACCCTTCTTACTAGTATAAAAAGCCGAATTAATTAGGCAGTGTCAACGTTTCCTCACTTATCAACCAGTGTTTGATAAACTCTTTAGTTATTTATGTGAAACAAATAATTATGAAAGATAAACTGATCTCAACAATCAGTACAGCCGGAAGACAGTCTGTTGCATACTAAAAGAAAGGCACACAGACCTCTATGTCGACCAATGTTTATTGACTACTCATACAATAATACAACTTTGAAAACTGGACAGCTTAACATAGAACTTACCATAGAAGGATCAAGATCAACAGTTAAATTTCGAAAATCATCTGTTGATATTTTCCTTCTACCTTGACTATCATCCTACTTAGAGAATTTTCGGCATCAAAATTTACTCAAGTTTAGAATCAGTCAAATTGTTAGTTACAAAGTTTTTCAATGCCAGCACTTGGATATTAGTATGTCCAGATGACGAGTCCTCAACAGAACGAAATACGGGTACAGGATTCCACCGCCAGTCAAAATCTATCTAATCTAAGCAAACTTGTGGATCAATTGAAACATCAAATCAATGTCCAGAGTACACATAAATATCAACAAACTTAGTCCTAATTTTCAAACTCTTATTATATAAGATAAAATTATAAGTGTTTTTTAAATACCTTGTGACTAATGTTCACGTAAGTATACATTGAGAAAGGGAAAATATACAGAATTTTTTTTACTAAATGTGAATCATGCTTTCAATTCGTTCATGAAGTTATTATATTGTTATTTGGAATACGTGATTTTAATATTGATAGATGAATGATGAACTTTTTTGTGTGGAATGATGATAACCTAAGTAAGAATAGTATTTTCATTTCCTTTATGTTAGTTTATTTAGCTTAATTCAAAGAGCTACTTTCTTTATACAAAGGAATTTAATGCAAGGATGGACAAAATAGGCATTTTATGTGGAAAGCGTTGACCAGGATAAAATTATACCTATTAAACAACATGCGAAGATACACAACTAAATCTGTTTTGATACTTTTAGTCAATGATGACCTGAACTATTAAATGACCAGAAAAAACTAATGTATGAACAAATATTCCATCGGTAAAATTATTAATGATCGGTCACAAGGTACTGGAAAACTGACTGCAACAGAAATTTATTATTTATCCCATTTAAAACCTGCTTCTTTCTGTTTTTCACAATGAGTTGAACTAACGGTCTCAAATAAAAGTTAAATAGATGATCCCGCTTAAAATCTGAGACCTAGTACTACTACTAATGTTGTGCGTGCTACTTATACGAACAGATATAAGTAGTATATTTGAGGCATGGGAAGTAGGATTCTTACTGACAAAAAAATAATAAAGAGAGAGAAAATTGAATGCAGTCACAGTAACAGCAGGAATGAAGGAATGATAAAGTTTGTATTAGATATTTCAAAAGAACGTTTAGTTGGTAATATTTTCAATGGCTATTCTATGAGGAGTGTCGAAATATTTTATATCTTCTATAAACTCTTATCTAATTCGGTTAATTAAAACAGGCTATATGATCAATTGCATATAGACCATCTTTATACGTTATAGAACAATCTGACTTATCTGCTAGTGTTACATTGCAAGTTTTAAACTGCATTTTTCTCCTTAATCAGGCCACATTTAAAAAATAGTTGAAGTCAAATGTAGTGACTGTAATGCTATATATCCAAGTAAGAAATCGTGACAACTGAAGGTGATGATGAAGGAACACAAACTTTGCTTAAAGCATATTCCTTAATTTTCAGATGACTCGATAATCTTGGAAATTGAGCCAACGGTATCATTGTATCCAACAGAGTCGGGCCATACAATTGGTTTTAATGGTATAAAAATCCTTCAAAAAGGGTTTAGTTCCTACGAAAGCAGACTAACAGATAAAGCCCTACACATATGAAAAAGTATGAACAGTATCATTAGGAAAGATGGAGTACAATCAGTTGTCCCATGACAAGTAATAATTAATAAGTAAACATGAACTCTTTATTTAATTTTACCACCTATTATCCGAACGAAAGCGATTAATTTCAACTGTTCTAATCAGTTGGCTTATCTAAATATATGATGAACAATCAACTTGGTCAACACAATAACAAATACTTTTATTTGTTTATATAAAAACTTTCATTTAGGTTTGAATGAGTAGCTTCACAGTAGTTGGGCTCTGAGTTAAGAAGGAAACATATATTTGTAAAATCTCATACGCACTACAGCAAATTCTTATCTTCAACACTATTGATATGATTGTATGACCTGCTCAATATAGAGCTAACCAGAGAATCATGTACTTATTTATACTCGATTATTGTGACATATGATCATATGTCCTTGGGAAAGCTTAAACCAGATTACCGAAAAAGACGTCGGGTTTATTCAAAATTAAATCGTTCAGATTTCACAAATATACTTTCCACCTCAATATTATTTTAGTTTGAAAAAATGTGCCAAATAAATTTCTTTAGAGTTCTCTAAAATCGAGCAACTTTTGTAATTGTGATTAGAATCACTACATATACAATTAAATGCTAAATTTGTAATATAAGAAAATGTAATGAGTGTAAATCAGTCAGTCAGTCAGTAACAACGTAGAACTTCGTACGTACGTACATCATTTCGAGCTCCCACACCACATTAGCACAGAGATGCAATTGTCGACTCAAATTCCGTAGTGGTAGAGGTAGTAAAAGTAAAAGCAGTAATCCGAAACATTAGGGTTTGAAGATTTTATTGAAGGAGTATAATACAGTTAAATAAATTTGGAAGGAAAACAAGGGATATGAAGAATCCATAAGATTAGAATTTGGCAGAACACAAAGAGTGGAAGCATTTGCGTCACTGCAAACGACTTTGAGCCATGTCATTCAGGGTCTCTAACTACTGGTTGCTATCATCTCGCGGTCCCCAACCAGGTAGTCTACACCTACCAACATAGCTCAGTCCACTTGTCAGTGACTTCATGGACTTGTGCCATGTTTTGGTCTGGCCGCCCCTAGCTTTCTTCCAACCTACTCCTATACATTATTTTTTATTATATTTGCATTTATCCATAAGGACAGTTGTCTACCAATAGGGTTTTGATGGGTGGTTTTCATTTTTACAAAATATAAATTGAAGAAAAATATAACTCTATTGGTTGTACAGTTTATGAACCGATTTTCTTTAAATCATTACAATCAGCAGTCAATCACTTTTTACTTTAATAGACAACTTATTATCAGTATGCAAAAATGTTTGATTTAAACACAAAAATACTAAATCCATCGAAATCGGGGCCATCATGATACTGTGACGAAATGATACTATTTGATTTATCATACAATTCATAAAATTCCCAAAACCAAGAAAAAAATTCTTAACGACATATTTATTTTTATGCTGAGCGGCTGTAAGATTTATCAAGTAAACCCATTTTAAATTTAGGGGCAGAAATACTTAAGTTTCAATAATTATCGCTTACATATTTTTCACTTGTTACACAGGCATTTCCATAATCCAGCTAGTCATTACATTTATATGCTATGATGTAAACGAATTGACAATTAATGAACTAGAGTTTGTAGTACGTGTTATCCTAGTACTGGTCGGAGACTGAAAAAATCTGGGTTTTTTTCTTAAATATGATCTCAATATATTGACTTTTTTTGCAATGATGTGATTTATTTATATAAATTTTAAGATAACTAATCACTTCTTTTGTAAGGAAAATCCATACAGTTATGCCATATATCTTCATTAAAATAATTCTAACTTATGATGACTGTCCTAGATAATTGACTATTGTAATTAGAAAAAAAAGAGATAACTTCAAATACGTTAACTTTATATTAGTTCATTGGTATCTATTTATCTTAGGGCATAGTTATGTTTTCCCAAGATAATGAAAGATTTCATTAGGTTCCGGTCAAGTTGAAACCTAGATCTAAAGAATAAAGAAACTTCATTGTTCATAACTAATGCCTAAAGCAAAAAGTGAATTGTTTAATGAATAAACGTTTTTCAAAGTGAAGCACAGGGTAAAATGCTTAATTTATCGTAATCTCTGAATGAGAAATATAAAAAATCTTGTGAAATGTTTATGAATGTTGATTTATCTTGACCAAATAATAAAATTATCTCTTAGTACCAACGTAAATCTGTGTCCTTCAAGTAGTCGACCACCATCAAAAGATATTTTTCTTTAATAAGTAATATATATATTTATACATTAAAGACATATAAAGCCTCAAAATTGAAGAACATTTGAAGAAAAACAATAAATTTCAACCATCTATTTTGGAAGATTTTTGTCAAATAACACACAACATTGGGAAAATATAACTGTAAATACTTACCAAACTTTTGCATTTGACTTTGAAGAAACTCTGATGTTTTTTCATCATCACATATATCATAGGGAATTAATCCATCGGCATTACAAGCCATCAAATCTGAACCACTGAATGAACAACGTATCGTGTCGTAAAGGAAAAAAACAAGGTAAAACTATTATTAACAGACGTAACATGTTCTGAAAAGTAAAATTTCAAAACTTAGCATCAAATAGTACTGTTTTTTTTTAATTGTCACTTTGGTTAAGCAATTTGAATTGAAATGATGACTGTTATATAATTACCTGGATTCTGACGGATATTTGTATACTTTGACATAGAGTATTATTTCTAAACAAAATAATATTCATTCCGCAGAATCTGTTACGACTTATCATTACAATTAGCGGAGCAAGTAAACTATGCTTATAATCCAGTTCACAAAATTCATGTGTAGAATTAAAAATCCATATTAGGCGTAATTGTTAACTGATGAGCACGTTTTTGAAATGTGTAGCTATTCTGACTAATTAGTACAAATCTTAGATGGAAGAATAAACTAGTAAATTAATTCTTGAAGTTTCTGATACTTTTCTATCTTTTTTAGTTTAGCAGATTTCACTACCTTATCACTAATAAAACAGATTTCTGAACTTACCATCGGTTTATCAGTGAATTAGTAATCACAAACATCCTAACAGTTTTAATATCAGTCTATCACCAATTTATTCACTTTCTTTGGAGACATCGTTTGCACTGGACATCAGCACAAACTATGTGGACGGATATTTCAGTTTCTGTTTGAGTTGAGTTACATTTCGACAAAATTGGTAAGGCCGAGAAGCTCAAGGGTAAAATGTCACCAATGATCATCATTCACAAATATATTTAGGTCAAAAGATAGAGTTATGTAAAATATGAGTAAACTTGTTCTAATTATTTAGTTTCAGTGAAATCACGGTCTGTATTTAACGGATTATTTCTACAATATCTTAAATGATGTTTTGAGGGTTATTTTACTTTTATGATTCTAACCTGAATTAAACGAGCTCACATATTAACGCTTTTTATCATATAAACTATTCTGAGGTTCACTTTTGCTATTCCAGTTGAAGAAAGTGTAATACACTGAGATTGACGTTAACGTTTGTCACAAAACATTTTCACTAATCTTCAGTCACCATTGGTTACATAGATCTCATACGATGCTTCTATAAATCGTACAAAACCAAAACATTTACTCACACATGACTAGAATGTCATATTTTTAACGCATATGGATTAAAAAAACTGTTCTGGGTTCATGTGAATGTTTTATTTCAATGTAAACAGTTTTACTTGAATAGAAATTATAAATAAAATCTCTTAAATATAACTAGTTATTCAAAAGCTTTTTAAGGTTTAAAACTCATCTGTTCAAAATAGCTGGAAACTCATTGTTAAGAGAAACCGATAATGTTAAACCTAATGTTCTTTAAAAATAACTCGGATCTGGAATGAACTGTTTACGGTGATGAATATTTGCAAATACATATGTATATGTTCAAATGTTTAAACTAATTTGTTTTATATTCCGGATTTAAAATGGTTTACCGGATAATAAGACCAGTACTAATTCACCAGAAACGTTTAATTCACATAATTATGAATGCTTGATATGTTGATAACGAATCAACCTAGCTTGTCTACCATCAAAATGACCGATTGAACAAGATCAGCTTGTTATTTTAAGTTTAAAAGAAGATTAAGGAATAAACTTTGTTATTTTTATGAGTGTAATTAATACTAAACACACTGAGATTATTTTAAAAAAAAGATATCTAGACTGAATCGAATTCTAGTGAAGATCAACAGAAAGGAAATAATCTGTACACAACTTTACTACTGAATGACGCTTATTCAAGTAACCGAAAAAAATAAATCTTAAAATCTAAAAATAATATACTCAACTACATTTAAAAAAACACTGATTTATGAAATTTTGGATGAGAACTAAAAGTTTTTTATTCTAAATTACAAAAAAATATAATTCATAAATATTTAACGATCGTTTCAATTTCTCACGAAGGCTTATGAATAAATATAACAGGACATTTAATTATCATGCTCTGTTACTACTAATACCGACATGCGATATTGATAAACATTTATTACTCAAAATGTGATACTTATATAACGGTTTTTTAATGTCATGAAGTTTGACTGTAAGATTTATAAGCAGAAACGTTAAGACGTATTACCAACACTTCTCAAAATAGTAAAAAAAGTCTTTTCCTTGTGTAACATAAGGTAATTTAGTCATCCGTAGTAGGTAATTTTTGTAGATTTTCGTGATTGTTTTCAGCTACGGTCAATGTTCTCTATCTTACTTGAAAAACTATAACTCATATTAAGACATTCACCATTGTACTATTCACACATAACTGCCAAAGGTTTGTGGTAACTTCCCAGTCATTGTCTTAAATATCAACCAAAGTATACAAATAAATGAATACAAAGTAGTTTTCCGTATATAATAATACTTACCGTTTGATTAACAACTGGCAGATTTGTAAATAACCACATGTAGAAGCAGCATGCAAAGGTGTCCACAGATCTGCATCGCGTGCATTCACGTTCGCACCATAGTCAAGCAAAAGATTGCATAAAGCGTTATCATTATCTATACATGCCTAGAAAGTAGAAACATAGATAATCCACTATGAATATCAAATAATAAGCAGTACCGAGAAGTAACATCATTTGGAAACCAAGATTGAAAAAGTGTGCCAGGGATGTTATTAAATTATATTGCCTATACTTGTAGCTGAATAGTTTCATTATCAGTCACAAACACCATAAATATGAATCATTTTGTAAACCAAATGAATGTTACTTAAAGTTCACAGATAGCACCTAAATGTAAATTCAAAAACACGAAAAACACTTATGTTTATCAAAATGGTGTTTATTTATCGTTTAACATACACAAGATTAAAGTTTTCTTTTCGAAAAAAGAAATGCTGTTTTAAATAGACAAAATTTAATGTTCAAGAGGAATTAGAAAATATTTTCTTTATAAATCATTTTAAAGATATCAGCTATCATTTATTTATGCTAACTGTTATCTTTTTTCCAGATTGATTTTACATAAATTTCGGAAATGTAAAGTTTGCTTTGTTGCAAACAATCATGCACGTTTTCAAATTGGGATTAAAAAATTCTGTAACTAATCGGTCTGTAATAGTAACTGGACTCAACAATCGGGAAGACATGAGATGTTTTGGATTCGAATTGTGAAATATTTTATCAAATAACTGAGAACACAAACATTTGCAAAGCCGATAAACTACAATAAGTCCTCAACCCTGTTGTTAGTTTTCCAATTTATATAAACTATCGACTTTTAGCTTATTTGAAATATTGTCACAAATAAAGTTTAACTTAACTTCAATTTTACAGTAAAACATGGTGTGAAACTCTTTCTTACTTATTCGAAACTGTGAGAGATTGACTTAGTAAATTTTTTTATAATTACATTGTTCCGGCTTTCTTTGGAAGTATTTCGTCAAAGGATAATCAATTGGTATAATGACCAAAACATTGACCCAACAGATAAATTTATATATTTCATAGAAGTTTGATGACCATTTAAAAGAGGAAATCAAAGTGATTGCAAATCATGCCTAATCTTTCTTATTAAAATATGATGGTGAAATAAAAGTTTAGTTACGAAAAGTAGTGATTTGAAGAAGGTTGTGAATGTGAACCATCGAGTTTTAAATTGGTGGTCTTATGGTCTCGTTCATGTTCTTTGATTTTATTCACCCCAGTTTCAGTCTAATGACAAGTTGAAAATTCTCAACTGTGAGGAATCTAATCCTATAAGGAACAGTAGGTCAGTAAATCATAGTTTCCATTAGTTTTCTTGGTGTCATCATTTCATGTTGAAATCCGTGTCATGATATCTACATAATCTAAGCAGTTTATCAAATAAAAAACTTCGTTCATATAAAAAGCTGACCAATATGAATACAGTTTTCAATTATTCTTTTTATGTACTTCAGGTAATTTTTTTGTTTTTTATTCTGTTTAATAGAGTATATCTTGTATCTCAAGTATATCATGCAGTGCTGTTTTTATTGAATTATTGCATAGCCTTTTTTATCTCTTTAATCAGAATTATTGTTATTGTGTCACAGAACAAAGATTTTTTTATTAAAATCAAGTACTTTTTTGTTACTGATTCTTTTTATTTGTTTATTTATTCATCTCCTTAAATATGGTTGATATTTTCCCCTTCCCGTCTACTCTTATTTCGTTTGTCTTACTTTATTTTAAGCTTGCATAAGCAGATTACTTCATTAAGTAATTTAAATAAACATCCGTCATATTATTCGTTTAGAGAGAAAACGTATCCATAAAGAAATGAATATTGATCACTGGGTATAAGAGGAAAACTTTTCCACTTCAAGTTAAAACGAGAAATTAAATCTGAAGATAAATATTAGGATTCATTTGTTTTGGGTAGAAAACAAAACTGGTAAATTAAAACAAAGTAACTAATGCTTTGTGCATTCGATATACAGGGGGGGGACTTTATTACATTCGGTATTATAAACGTTTATGTATTTGAGGCGTTTCAAAGTTATGCAATGAGTCTGTCCATTGTTCTGTAAACTTAGAGGATATCATTGAAGTTATTTTAAAACCATTCTAAAGCTTTTATTTTTTTGGGGCTATTTATCACTTCTAGCTAAATTCAGTAAGTCACAATATTCACAACTCAACATTTGAAACATGCTGTGTCATTATATGTGCTAAACAGATGTTTACAAATAAGTGTTTCTTTTAATAGTAGTTGTGATATCATTTCACGAAGATCAGATAAACTCTACTTAATTCCTAAATCCAAGAATACATATATATGGTATATGATATAAGCTCAGTAGAAAATCAATAAATTAAATTTGAATAATTTGAATGTTACATAACATCTTAAATGATAGTTTTATATTCTGTTGTTAAAATGAACAGTACTCATCATTAAATTATGAGTCTCTTAAATATTCTATCTATTTAATCATTCATTCGATATATGTCAAATATATCTAGGCAGAGAAATATTACCCCATTAAATTTGAAAGTTCATTGAAAGTTCATATTATTATGTTTGACGTAAAATAGTGTATTCCTACTCTTGAACCATTTTTTTTATAACACAGACTGTCTTATTTCTAACTTTTTCTTATTATTGCTGGAAATAATGAGAATAAATTTTACTGAATCATGTTTGGTATATGTTGAGTGAGGATAACAAAATTGACTTAACGAGTACAAAAGAAAAGTTATAGATTGATTAGTTGACATTTCGTTGTAAGTTATGGTAGATAAAAAACGTAGATATGATCAATAAAGAAAAGTAAAAGGAACTTTCTGTGATTGTGGTTTTTACAACTCATCGTCTTATATTATAATGCCAGTAATCCACTGTGTCAATGAAAATACTCTTCTTCTTAGTGACTTAACAGACAAAGTGCTTTATTTAAAAGTGAAAGTAGGATTACATAAAAATGTATTTTGAAAAATCTAAGTACCAAGTGTCGCTTTTGCACAAAGAGTTATGACTCGGAAGAATGAACTGCTATTTTTTCGTACCGTGCATGAGTTATTGATATGTGCTCTTTCTGAACACAGTTGTTTGACCTAGTATAGACTTTTAAAGGATATATCTACTGTGCAAATGTGATCAGAATTTGCATATAGGGCCTTTAGGATGTTGATAAACTTCTCAGGCACACCCTTCTTCAATAGACAATTCCAGAGAACAGTCCTGTCCAACGAATCGAAGGCAGTCCTAATGTCAAGAAACACTATGACTGTTGGCCTGTGATAAGTATGACGGTGCATCGAATAAAATTCAAGGCAGTTAAACACAAAGCAATTAATTTATGTTAGGATTATTTAGTACACTTACTTGATGTAAAGCTGTCAGTCCGTCGACATTAGATATATTTGGATTTATTCCATGTGAAAGCAAATATTCAACTAAAATGAACGATAGAAAACGAACACTTATTAAGTTTATATGATTATACAGTTCACAATAAAACGACATATAACTTTAACATCATGTTCTTACTTTGACATTTAAAACAAATTAAATGACAAATTGCAATGTAATTATAGATAAATGCGCTTTCATCATTTATTGAGACATTCCAGCCTAAAGTAGCATTCGAATAACAGTTGTGTAATATTATTTAGTACAGTCAAAAATGTATTCGCAAATATTTATTAGATTTGAACATTCGACAATTATATTATATATTATATTATTACCCATATCTGGAGCATAAAATTATATAAATCATGTTCATTATGTTATCATTACTACGTAAATTTGTTGACATGAGATTTATCACCAAAGATTAAGCGAGTACACCTTAACATAAACGCAATAAACTTTAAAATCAAGTTCTCATGTCATTATCATGATGAACTTAACCTGAATTTCATAACCTTCGCTCTTAAACATAAAACTTTGATTCTATTTTTTATAATATACATTGATTATTTTCAGTACTTTTAAGTAATATGTATGAAATTTTAATTCCTTATATAAAAATAATTCATATTTTTATCAGCTGAAAAAATGCTATCGCAACAACTTTTTTCTTCCAAAATTTAAAAGCACCTGGACCAACTAGACGTTATAAAGATTAAGGCGGGAAACTAGAAAATTATATTTATTTATGTATAATTACTTGACGGCTTACCGAGAAAATATAAGTGTATTTTTCAAGGAGAAGACATTTTGCAAAGTCAGTATTATATATTAATAATTAAACTTTCGACTGAGTTTTAGAAATCAGTTATTTTCAACCTTCATGACAATTCCTATGAATATTTATCAATTAAGGAATATACAAATACATTCATGCATTTCCTAACTTCAGTATTTTTTACTCTGCTGAGAAAATTCTCTTGTCAAAATAAAGAGGACTATGAAGATGAGTGTTTTTCTTAATTTTATTCACGCAGCCCACTTTATAGAATAGTTTCGAAAAAATCCCTTTTTCAGCCGCAAAAGAATCCACTGTATTAATTAGAATATTGGTATATTAATTAGCGTTTACAACAGAAGCTAAATTCCGTAAATTTCAACTTAATGTTATATTACTTCATGTTAACATTCAAGCAATCGCAAACGATATATTTATAACAATACAAGCCTAAAATGTATAGCTGCAAAATTACTGTTAAAATTACTTTATATAGGAGTTTAATTGAAAAATAGATATATAAAGGAAATATAATAATACCGAAACAACCTATATTGAATAACCAGTAAATATTGTGATAACTTATGTTGTGTTTCAGTTACATGATCTTTATTTCTTCAGAATACTATTTCAGCCTTAATAGTACTTTAATACATAGTCGGTATTATTAGGTCTCAATAAAAAAAAACACAACAGGAGTAAGTTAATAGATAGGATTTAGGTTTCTTTAGGAATCAACTTGACAATCTAATAACATATGTATTCTTACTACTAATTTTGTTGGGAAACTGATAGTGTTTTATATATCAAAAATTAACAGTAAATCTGCATTGTTCTATATTACCTTATATTCTATTCATCACTATTTGTTTTTATTAAAATAGTATTCATTCAGAAAATAGGTTGCAGCAATAGTCTTCATTTCCTAAAAATTCTGTTTTCTTGTGTTCTGTGAAACATTTATTGGTAAAAACACTTAAAATAAATTGAAACTTAAGGTACAATAAAGGTTCTTTGTTTAAGTGATACGGAGTAGTTCTCATTAAACTGAGTGGAAAATTATTAGTACGTTTCGGAAGATGCAGCTTGTTTCCAATGTGTTTTCTGTATTTGGCTACAGCATTAACGCTTTTATGGACAATCAACTCAAATATGCCAAATAAAATATCAGACGCAACAAATATTCGCACCGTTTGAAAAAGAATTATGTTGTAATTTACTCAGTAAATTGTGTTTTCAACCAGAACGTTTATCTTGTTATCTTAAAAATACTTCAAACTACTATACATGATATGTTGCATCAATTTAAGTATCTTTTTAAATAATCTATAAACAACTTATAGTACGGGTAATTTTGTTGATATTAAGATTATTTTATTCACTCTATGTATTATTTGACTTTCATACCGTATTAAAGGATTAAAGAGAACTGTGAAACAAATTCTATTACTAGGTGGAAAGATAATAAAATTTGCCTATTATTAAAATCTGAAATGTTTTTGTGAAACATACTGACATAAATTTAACTTTTTTCAACATCTCAGATTGAAAGATGACTTTATTTTATAATTCAGAAGTGACATAGAAAGGACTATGTTGACAGCTTTAAAGACGCATTCTTTTCTTCATGAAAACATTTTAACAACTAAAAAAATATAGTGCAATTTGTAGTTGTAAAGTCTTCTTATCATCTAAGTTCTACTTGAATTTTACCATTATTATAGACAAACAGTTACTTGTTGATCTTTCAGTGGTTATCTTCGCCACATTCAAAAGGTAAAAATATGTTATATATCCTACAACCAAATCATGATTGTTCAAAGCTTTCGAGATAAATCGAAAAAATATTTTCATATTATTTCTTAAACGTCTAGCTGATGGTTTATAAGATTTAATTCATTTCATTACAAAAACATGTGATACACCGTAAGAGAAACTTTTATCACGTGAATAAATATTTTGTGGCTGCAGACTAGTTTTGTTGAAGCACTTTTTATGATGATGAAAGCACTCATTGCAAACATAGATCGACTTAATATTAAACAAACACAGTAATCAAACCGAAATAATGGCTATAAATCGGGATATCTAGTTTATATTTATTTCAAGGTGGATTTTATTTGCGTATATTCGATTTTTTTGTACATGGATAACAGCGGTAATAAATAAATGATAATCCACTAATGTAATCATAATTTATTCTTAATGGTGGATTTTTTTCTTTGTCAACAAATCATCCTATTATACAATTGTCATATCAGCTTAGTGAATGCAATTAAGAGAAAGGTGAGCTGGAATTTCACAATAGGTCTTCATAAACTAAACGCAACGAATACTAGTATACAATAATAAAAGTTGGCTCAGTCTATATCTATGCTTTTATATATCATGATATATCCTAGTTTTTGGGAAAAGACACTTTTTATATTTTTAAGTGGTAAGGTACTTTCTTACACGTCATTGTTAAACTGATTCTGAATTGAACTAAAATTTAGTAACAACATCACCTACATTACTATCGACTGATTTACAGAACTCAAGAAATATTTCACTGACATCCGTGCAAAATGTTTTATACAGTATCATGCTTAACTAAAAGATAAATAAATTAAATTAATTTATGAATTCTGAACGTTTATTGAAAAAAACCTCATAAATACTTTATATTAACTACTCTTGAATGAATATAACCACTGAATTCCGGTTAAAGTTTATGTCTAGCAACAAACAAGGCATTTTGTTAGTTACCTCACCTCTTTTTTCAGATACCAAAAAATAAAACATCACAACGAGTCCATTCAATGTTTGTTTGTTGGTGTCTAAACATTTGTGAAAAGTGGCAATAATATATGGTGTTTGTGGGCATATATAATGTAAGTCGAGGCATTTTCTGTTCTCACTGGTTTGTATTGTTGACTTTTTTTCTCTATTCTCTTTGAAAAAAACAAGAAAAAGTTAAATTCCATTTTTTACAGATAATTTTTACTTAGCCAATTGCAAAATGCACGCTTTTTCTACAAGAAACCTCAATGATATACAAAGGCAATTCAATTTTAAATCAATAAATAAATGCTACTTATCAAATGAACGACGGTAGAAATATGGTACTCAGACATTTTTAGTGCATCAATACACATTTCAGTGAAGCTTAAACATATAATACTTAAAAAAACATTTATGGTTTACATCTGTACAGACAATCATAACATACAAAAATAAGAATTTTCGAGTTCGGTTAGAAAACATCAATAGCAAGCTAAGTACATCTTATTGAAAGTGAAAATCTCTATACTAATCTAACTAGTATAATATAAGTTTTTCTAAATGATTTTTATTACTTGATGTAGTTTCGTTAACTGAAGAAGAAATTTCTAGGTTTAAAATTACTAAATACGTATACCATAGTCGACATTAAAAAGATAATGTAGCCGACTCAATAATCTTGTTTCAAAGAAACCACATTGCGTGTATGGTGGAAAAAATCTTCAGGTGATCAGTAAGTACATTATGTGGCGAAAGCAATAAAATCGACTACTTTGCTAACGTGAATGCATAATTTAGTCAAGTGTTTATCAGAAGATCCATTTCTAAAACTTTACCTTAAGCTTGTAATGATATATTACATTAAAAAACAATACTAATCATTTGCTTGATTATTCAAGATTTTCAAAAATTTTACCTAAGTTAACCACACGTTAGTGATGACAGTAGTATGTAAACGTGACGTCGAAACATGTTATTTATGACTTCCATGAATATAGATCTAACTAATTAAATGATAATGCACATTTAAATTAGGAAATAGAAGCGCAAAAAAATAATTTTTCCCAGTATCTAACAAAAACATTGCGTAAACATTTAAAGTTGACATGGTATATGAACATTCAGATATCTTCATATCAATTAGGAAAATGTCCACAGTACATAAAAAATTATTAATTGAAGATTACGTTCTTTTGAATGTGTGTTTAAACAATAAAAGAGTATTGTGAAAATACACCAAGTTACCTTTCTGTTTAAGAGCTTCTAACGAAGACGCGTTCTTCTTGTTGATTGGAGTTCACTTAAGCAAATAAAAATATGCAAAAGCAGAAAAGGATTTCCGACCAAATTTATGACATAACAGCTCCAAAACAGAAAGCACAACGAGGGCGGTACTATAGAAACAATGCCTGATTAGGAAATGAATGTAGGACAAAAATACAAGTAGCGTATTCTGTAGCCTCAATTTATGAACTGAGGTACTAGGTGATATGAATAGAT